AGGAGGGATGTTCAATACTGATTCATTTGTTTAATCTCACCATATCCCACTGCAGCTTCTGGGTGCACGTGTTCACATTCTTAGTTCTTTCTGCACATTTAAGCACAAGAGCATGCCTTTTGTAAATTTTTAGGTTGTTATAGGGTGGCCGCTATGTATTGAATGCTCACGTATTCTTTCTCATAGTGATGAATCGTAATCAGTATATATCAAGTAAACTAGGATTTTTTTTCATCTTTTCATCAAGCCCACCTGCAAAACTGTGAACTGTGTTATGATTGCCACAGCATCTCTTCTCTGGATATTTGCATGATTTGACTTTTTTTTTTTCACACTTGTGGATTATGAATTGTTGTTATAGTAGCTCACTAGCTCTCCATGTAGTAAGACCGACACTTATTCTACAACTTGATTCATTTATCTATCTGATGTCTACATCTTAAGGACAATGTTTCTCCGGATTCAAAGGCTATACTTATCTGAGTATTGTTGCGCTGCAATTATTTTTTATTTTTTTTGTAATATGCATATTAAAATTTTTCCTTCCTTTATTGTGTTCTCTCTCTTGCCTTCCTCCCTCCCTCCCCACTGAAAAGAAACAATAATGCAGAAAAGAAATCAATTTTTTCCTAGAAAATTGTTGAGAATTAGCTCTCCTTTTACTCCAGTTGTGTAAATCAAGTTAGCGAACTTCGCCTAGAAATGTTCTTATGTTCGAACCCTCCATTAATTAGATTTTACATTTTCAGTTTTTTTTTTTCCTTTTTTTCTATCTTTTGTTTTTTATAGCAATCCAAGGTCATTTTCTCTTTTTTATCGGTGTTCTAAAATGCTCGTATAAGTTTGAAACTCTGGCAAAACGCTTGGCTTCGTGCTTGGACGATTTTTTTTCCAATTCTTGAACAGTTGAATTTTTTTTCCCTCTCTTTCATCTTCCCTAGGCCCACTTAATTAGTTTTCTTATTCCTTTTTTTAAAAGTCTTTTATTTGACTTTAACTTATTAATTTATTTTTTATTTTTAAAAAAAACTTTTCATTTGACTTTAATTTCATGTTTTTAAAAGATTTTATCTGTATAAAAGTTAAAAACGATTTTATCTAAATAGTTAAATAAGATTTAAGTTTTGATGCTATCTGCATTATGTAATTCTGATCTCGAGACTCTTTATTTTGTTGCAAACTTAAAAAACATGTATAAAATTCCTATAAATATATTAAGACTTGTCTAGTTGAAAATTGAAATTATGAAAAAAAAATTCTAATTTTTGCATTTCGAAAACTTAAAAATTTTATAATTGATTAATGATAGGAATTTTTAAGTAAATATAGAATTTTATAATTTTAGATATTTGATATGTATTATTTTAATTATTAAATTATTTTTAAAATGATTAAAAATTAAAAATAATATTAAAAATAAGAAAATGTTTTTTTATGCCTAAGCCTCACTCAGGCTGCTTAAGCTAGTAAAGTTTGAAGTTTTGCTTCCATGCCTAACTACGTTTTACACTTTTTAAAATACTGTTTTTTATTGTAATTCAAGGGTCCTTGATGTGGCTTAACCTTCGATACTATTTATAATTAGAACCTCTTTCCTTTTCATGAGAAAAGGATGAATAACTTATGTTGCTTATTGTTAATTTTTCTTAGCGATCCAAGAATAATTCTTTACGTGGCTTTGAAGATGAAAAGTTCTCTTACATTGTTTTCAGACGAGGAACACGCCCAAGGCGAGTATTTCAATTTGTCAGTTTATTTGCTTTTTTTGGAGTCCTATACACTTCTAATAATTTGGCCGATTCTTAATTTCACTTAAATCCTTAATACTGTCAGTTTTCTTGAACTCAATGTTAGTCAATTCATGAATATCTTGTTAAGAAAATAATTTGTTATTTTGAGCAGAGGACCTTGGCCACTTGATGGTATGAAGTTTGAAACATTGAAGGAGATACATGCTAAAAGAATACCAGATGATCTGGATATTGACACTGGTATGTAACCTGTAACCAGTTTTAATTTAGAAAAATTCTGCTGTTTATTTTGTGAAATTAATTAGATTGTGTTTGCCTAAGCCTAAAAAAGGTACAATACATTTTGCTGGAAAGTTAGAACTTAAGACTGAGTTTTTGAAATAAAAATCTCCCCAAAAAGTCACTTCTAAAAGAGCTCAGACGTGTTTGCTGTGTAGTTACTTTTTTTGGGCTTAGCTAAACATATATTTAGTGCATATTTGGCCAAGCTTATATTATAATTTTGAGCCAGTCGAATATGCTTTTTATTCACTCTTTTTATATATCTCACAATTTATAATAACATAAGTTTAATTTAAGCATCCCAAACATGTTCTTAATGTTGCATTTTATGTCAGAAAATCAATTCACGACAAAAGCTTCTGCCGAGGATGACCAATATGAGAATCATCCAGCACCGTCATGTGATTCGGATATGTCTGAAACAGATTCTATTACTGATATTGATGATGCAGAAAACTACGAAGTAGAAAAGCCTCGAGCTGATCTTGGCAGTGGCTGGGGTCGAATAATTTACATGCCACTAAGGAGGGGCAAGCGGGTTGAATTTGATGTTTGTCGAGCAATGAATTACGAAGGTACTGAGGGATCCTTTGATCGTGTTGTTGTCACGCAGAGTAATAATCCATTGCTGCATCATCAAGCTCGACGGTCTATTTGGGGCGACTTGTGGCCGCTTCGAAGTGGAGAAAGTAATAAGTTTTACATGTAAATCGTTATTGAAATCGTGGATTTGTTATCCTAAGTAGCACGGGAGTAATCAACATGCTCACGAGCACGGTGCACCCCCACCAAAAGATGAAAGATTAAAGAATGGTAAAGATTCACTAGTGTAATTGTACTATATCCCTAATTTGTGGGGGCCAAGGAATGGGTAGAGAGATTGAGCAGGAAATCACACGGTGCCGAATTGTCTTGATATATTCGACCTCGTAACAGATGTTGGCCCAATATTCTGCAGGTTAGGTACGCCTGCAGGTTGTGTACATTATTATTTTTAATCAAAAATTAAAAAATTCAAATTGGGTTTACATGTACTATTATGATAGTTTCGTTGTAATGGTTTTTCTTTTTCATTTTTTCTTCACAAGTTACAACCGTCGATGTTATTTTTGGTAGACTTTTTGTTGTGAAAAATTTAGCAATTGAACACAAATTAAACAATCAAAAAATGAAAAGAAAAGGTGTCGTGCAATAATTGAAAAGGGTTGATGTCTCAATTGAATAAACGAAAAGGGTAGATGCCAATTCGTACAATAATGTGATCTGCTTTCACATATTTTATGATATTTTTCGGGACCCACCCAATTATGACCCTATTGCTGATTTGAGGTCTTTGTGAGAACAAATTGTAATTTAGCTTTTGTTAACGTGGTGTTTGGAAATCAAAACACAACCAACGGCTCAGTGTGTTCAGGGTATTAAAGAGTGCTTTTTTCTGAATAGTAGAGTATCTCCAATATAGCCCTGCACATTAAAAATGAAAGAATATATTTTAAATAGTGATGTGATGAAAAATAGGTGATTAAAAAGAAGAAAAAGTTTTAAATTTGCATGTAATATTATTTTATTAAAGATTGTGCGTTTGAAAATTAGTATTGAAATAGTATTTTTTTAAGAATGTGGATCAAACGGGGCAATAATATTGTGCATCGGCGTCACGTGTCAAACAAATTGAAGAATGGAGAGAATATTTCTAATCGGGTCGTGAATTGCACTAATTGTGAATTTTATGTACCAGAGAGAGGGCGGAGTCAAGTAGCGAAGATAAATTTTAAAAATGAAAAGGGCACCCTCCATTTTAAACTCCATTTTTTTCTCTAATTTTTAAGTACATTCTCAACAGTGCACCATCCTACTATAAAATAAGATCGTAAAACCCTAGTGCCCTTAAACCTTATGAGCAAATCAACTAGGCTAAATGAAAGACTAGAGAATTTGAGGGTGGTGGAAAGATCATGATGATTGCGAAATTTGAAGATTCATGGACTAATTTGTCCTTGAGATATTTAAGTTGTACTTCCAACTAAAAAGGAGCTTCAATGCAAAAATATTTCATTGCAGACGTTGAGAAAATTTGGTATGATATTCTTAAGAATATTCAGCAAAAGAATACCAAACATAATTGACTTGCTTTTTGTGAACCCTTATTTAAACAGGTGGGAGTCATTGTTATTTATTTTTACAAGCAAAAGCTAAATCCCCACATGGACAAAACAAATTTGTATATATGCATATTGTCTTGTCTTCTCCTATAATTTCTTGTTCGTACACATTTTTCTATGACTTGTCTTTTCTTTTCATTTGCACCGTCCACGTATGCACCAAAAATAGGGGTTCAACACTGCAAATTTACATAATCGATGACCTAAATCTTGTGTAATATCTATGATAGTCTTTATTTTTTTTAAATGCGTCCCATTCACATATTTCATGAGGATGTACTAGTAAACAAAACTTTTATCGGGAATTAAAAATTTTGATCGTGTCTTGCACGTAGACTTGAAGAATACGAAAATGAAGTCATTCTGACTCCACGAACATGAGCTCTTATTACATACTAGTTGATTAAGTTGAGTTGGACATTTCCTCGACTAAGTTCTAACTACATGATCAGACGGGAATATTGAATGAATTTAACGTAAAGATGAATAAGAATTAATGGAGTTCAACTTGGGACAAAACTTAGATTGTTAAGTTCATAAGATATTTAGGTTAATGAATACAAAATACCACGTTGTGCTTGAATTTGACTTGTGCCAACAAAGAAAAGCAGTTTTAATGATTAAAGAGGTAGAATTATGGGGAAATTAAGCTGTCATTACAATATAAGAAGACAAAATTTGGGCTGCTGTGTTTTTTATATGCCATGAATTTCTAAGTTTATATCACATTCAATTAATTGGAAATAAATTGTATTCTAGATTTGAGATTACTTTTGACTTCGGAGTTTTTATTTTTATTTTTGCTGACGTGTAGGATATAATTAATAATTTCATTCAATTAGATAATTAGTTTGATTTGTCAATAGTGCAAAGAGAAGGATTTGATTATAGTTCGAATAATAAAGGATTGATACGAACAACAAAGGATTTTGATCTACATTTATTCATTTAATCCCTGTTTAATAGATATTTTTTTTTTAGAATAAATTGATTTTCTGGAGAATGAGCAGAGTGCAAAATTATTTTTCCCCTAATTTTTTTTTTTTTTTATTTTTAACCACATCAATTTTCAATCAAATATTTCACCAATTTTAAACCAAAATGTACTAAATCAAACATGAATTTTATTGACAGAATGTGTAATTAAAAATGAATTTGAAAAATAAAATTTAAAGAGTAGGTTTCGAAGATTCCACCGATGATTGACATATTAATTTTTCTTTTCAAACTATCTCGAGCCAGTCTCTAGTTCTTTCTGAGTAGATTTATACTCGGATGCATAAATCAAAATCAGGAGATCAAATTCAGTAGCCTGGAAGCAGGAGATCATTTCTCATGGTTAGAAAAGGAATAATGTGAAATTGTCTAGTGGAAGGAATCCACTTGAGTTTTGTTCAGCCTTCCAATAATTGGTCGTACTGTCACTTTAAATGACGTAGTTTTGCACAGTTATGTACCGGTGACTTAATATTTCAGAAACAAAAAGAATATGATAAACCATAGTACATGCTAACGAAAAATCTGAATGATGGATTAATGGCAGGTTGAGAACATCTTGATCATCACTCAAAACATGCTAACGAACATTGTTTTTTTAATTTTACAGAAGCTGCAAATACTCATCGTAGACTTTATCAAGCATATTTACATCGTCGTAAAAATCTGAATGATGGATTAATGGCAGGTTGAGAAAATCTTGATCATCACCATAAACTCCAACTCGATCATAATTTTCATCTCCATCTAATTCAAACAAAGGGCACGGCACATACGATACTTTCAAAACTGCATTCTCCTTTTCCACATTATTATCTCCTTCATTTGATGATGAACCTGAGCCACTCACTAATAAACTGTCACAGCTGTTATTTCTAGGAAACGCTGAAGAAAACCGGATGGGTTTTGGTAAATAAACAGTGGTTTTAGGAGCCGCTGCAGTAGTTTTGGTCTTCTTCTTCTTGGCGCCGGCGGCCGGAGGTGTTGATTTATTGGATTTTTTTGGGGGTTTGGGTAAATCTTTGTGAGGTTTAGGTTGTATTCCGGCAGTATTGAGCTTTTTAAGGAGGTGGGTATTCCAGTGGTTTTTGATCTCATTGTCCGTTCGACCTGGCAATCTTCCGGCAATTAGTGACCATCGATTGCCAAGGAGTGAATGAAGCCTAATTATTAGGTCTTCTTCATCAGTGGAAATGTTTCCTCTCTTTATTCCCGGCCGGAGATAGTTCATCCATCGCAACCTGCAACTCTTCCCACATCTCAATAGCCCTAGGCCCACAAAATTTCAAACAATTAGTGCTCAGTTCGTAAATTAGACAGAACTATGCTTAGTACTTTGTACCAAAAATGTAGATGAACATGGGATTGATTTCTTTACCAGCTTTCTGAGGAAGAGATCTCCAATGGCCTTCACCATGTTCTTGAATGTAATTAGCTAGAAGAGTGTCTTCTTCGGTTGACCACGGTCCTCTCTTCAACCCAACTTTAGAGCAACAAGGGGATCTTCCCATTTTGCCTTTTGTTTTTCAATCTAATTCTGATATATATAATAGCAGCAGCAGCCACACAGTGGGTGTGTGGATGAGAGAATTCAGCAGCGAAATGGATGCGTTTTGTGCTCCTTAATAACCCACACAAGTCCTTTGTTTTTAATGAAAAAAATATAACAATTTGTGGATTAAATATTAATTACATAAGCTGGCATCAATGGGTAGTGTACTTCCACGATTTCTATTTTCTAATAATGTAAGATTGGATCTCATCCACGTTACATGATGGAAACACAAAACTTTGTTCATTAATTATATGAACCCACACTGGCTGCTAAACATTTATTGGGTCTTGGTGGCATTTATTTTTGTATGGCCTAACTTCGATTGAGATTTCAAGGGTTCGAAATTCGATGGTTTTCGTGTTTGTCTCATCCTTGTACACAAATAGTTAGTTATCAATATTGGACGATCCTTTACGGCATATATTTATGATATTTTAAAAATGGATGAAACGATCTTTGACTTATTCACTTTAGACAACTAAATAAATAAGTTAATAGATCAAATAATCGTTCTATAACTATTTTTGTATTTGGTTGCAAATTGTTTAAATAAATATGAGCTTGTTTGGGAGGGATTAAAATTGAAAATATAGCCGTTGGACTTTACTTTTATTAGACGAGTGAGACCCTATAACGATTATATTTTCAATTTCAATTGAATTTTTGTTCTTCCCAAACAAGCTCAGACTGATTCTAATTTGGAGAAATATCAATTTCTAAACTCTGAAATAATCCGTAGAGCTTGACGTCGGTACATCAATATCAGTTTTATCAATAAAAAATTAATATCTTCTGTTGACCCTATTTTTTTTTTTCTTTTCTTTCCCATGTCGATGCATCACTCTGTACCTAACTTGGCTGACAATTTTGTGTCCTTATACGAATAAATAACTTGGCATGAATAAATAACTCCTTCACATCTAAAACGTTTAACTTCTGCCATATTACATCTCTATGTATTCAGACGCTGTGATATTTTCTGTTAGACAGGTCCTATAAATTGTGATGTTGAAAATGAATTTTGACAAGTTATTAATTTTTTTTTTGGTATGCCGTTATCTGTCAACAACCTTTGGATCAACTATTTTTCGTGAAAATTTTTAAAAAATTCTCAAAAATGAAAATAATTTTTAAAAATACTTGCTTGAAAGTAACTTTACATTTCTAGACAGAGACTTTGAGCTATAGATAAGTTTAGTTTAAAATGTATTGTTTACTTGAATGTTATTTATTGACAACTCTAATGAGACTAATTATTAATGTATATATAGGCTATGTCTGAATTTATAAGAGTCTTATAACTTGATTCTAAATATCTCAATTTTCAGTTTAAATATCAAAATGTGGTTTCAATTATTGAATAACGGCTAATTTTTCAATTTTAATCTCTACCAAACACAATCTAAGTCCCCATTTGGCCACCGTTAATTTACAATTCATTTTTCTCTTTTTTGGTCGTTTAAATTTGTAGGTAGCCTTGATGGAAATATAATCATTATTATCAAATATCTTCCACGCAACGGATTTTGAGGGTAGGGTAACATGTCAGAGCATTTATTTTTACCTTTTAAATTTATAGAATTTTGAGTTATAAATGTCAAACTTGATTTGTTAGTTATTTTATAGCTTTCACCAAATTAAACACTATACTTGATATTTGATAAGCTTAAAAATAAATAATTTTTAATTTCTTATTCAGAACTTAGCTTGTATACATGGAGAACATGTAGACGCACCAACAAACATTCCCTTAATTCTATAAAGAAGTTTTTGACTCAAAAATGAAAGAAAAAAATAAAAAAATGTTAAAGTAATTTATAAGAGTGTACCTCATATAGATTTCTCATGTAAGAATCAATATCTCCTTTCAGGTTGACATAACATAAAAAGAGATACATATCACTTTCGCTTACTCGATCCTCCAACAAAAACTTGAGTTGAGACATTGCAAGTGCTTATTCGTTAAGAAATATAGGTTTTTTGTATACTTGGTCCATTAATTTTTAATTTTTTTACTTCAGTAAAATAAAAAAAATGTCAAAAATGATCGATTCTTACACTCATTCTAGAAATTTAATCATTTTTTGTTATGGTGAAAGAAAAATTCAATTTTGACAACATGGAATAATAAAGTAAGTTACCACACTGAAACAAACCAGAAAAAATCATTAGCTCAATCAATAGCTCGTACTTGTTACAATATATTTTCAGTCAACTTAAATTTACATGAGATGAGTTTAGCTTAACAAAGAATATTTCAAGATTTTTCATTATTCGAGTTCAACATGACTTGTAGAATGTTATCTAAAAATTTGGAGACAAGAAATACAATTTTGAACTCTAGTAAAGTATGTAAAAATCTAAAATTATTCAAATTCAAAAGAACGAACATTTTATACGAAACTCATACTAATATTGGTTATTCATATATAAGCATATAATAATAAAATTTACTAATTACAACTACTATTTTCATAAAAAAAAAAGGAGGAAAATTAAAGAAAATAAATAGCCGCCCTGCCCGTCCCCACAGTTGGTTAGTATTTAAAAGTTTGCATTAAATGAATTTGAACTTATGTGACAAAGGTAAAATTTGGAAAAATACGGAGCATGCATCAACAATCCAAACATGACAAAAATAATCAAACCTATGCACATGGTCCTAAAAGCTGCCTGTAACAATTGTTATCCACAAGTAAAATAGCTGTCCTCTTCTGTCTTTTACAGACACTAGTGTACGCACGTGCGATGCACGTGCTGTGGTTTAATTGGGTATTTAATAGCGTGGAGTGATTTTTAGTTATTTTTTCACTCTAATGTTTGTATAATTGTATGAATTGAGTTTAAATAGCAAAATTGTACCAAAAAAATTAGTATTCTAATAATAATAAATTTGATTGTTAATACTTATGAAAAAGGGGCAACATGAAATTGAATTAGATGAATGTTAAGTAATCTAAGCGAAATCAAAATTCCTAACCACTGAATCCCAAAAAGTTCTCCGGAAACTTGTTAAATTAGATTAAATTAATTACTAAATAAATTTAGATTGAAGCTAGAATAAAACTAATAATAAATACTCAGTCACTGTGGGTACGATATTTGGACTCAAAATTCGTTTTATTATTTGTCACGATCCGTACGCTTACGAAATCAATTGATCAAAAATCATCTACCAACATCAAATATGTAATAATCAATCTGTAATTTGTCAATAGAATTACCTTATCATCTTTGGATCCCAAAATCTCGCATACAAAAATAAACGAATTTGTCAATAGGATAAAACTTGGTTTTAAACCTTCTCTTATATGTATTACTAGTGTACGCACGTGCGATGCACGTGCTGTGGTTTAGTTGGGTATTTAATAGCGTGGAGTGATTTTTAGTTATTTTTTCACTCTAATGTTTGTATAATTGTATGAATTGAGTTTAAATAGCAAAATTGTACCAGAAAAATTAGTATTCTAATAATAATAGCTTCAATTAAAAATGTATTTGGTGCAAGTGAAAAGTAATATACGTGAAAGCTTCAAGATGGTTATAGTCAATTGATTAATCAAGTTATGGCTTATACAACTTGGGAGCTTTTGTAGCAAAGCATCAAGATTTCTTTCTCCAACATCTTTAACTTTTTCTTTTTCATTTTTTCTTTTTCTTTCACTATTTTTTTGTTTTCCTTTCTTTAGGTTGTTTGGACCTTTTTTTTTGTCTTTTTTATTTTTTGTTTCACCTAAAATTCAAACTTCAGCACAACAACGTTCTCCATCCCTATCATACTTCCAATCAATACTTCTGACAGTCAAGGCTTGTATTTTCAATCAAGCCTTGATATCTCAAGTTAAGAGCATGTTCCGATATTTTGTTAAAGAAGATGATATTCTTCTGAAAGAATCTAAAAGGCTGGAAGCACCAAATTATATACCTATTCTCCAAATTCAAATTTCTTATTGGTAGAATAGGAATTTGTTAAATTTAATCAGGTAGTACACTATTTTTTTCGAAGTCTATGCATCACATTTTTGCACAATAAAGAAAATCGGGTTTCCCTCGAGTTGGTCCTTTACCATTTTGAGAAGTGTTCCGTGGTATAAACACGACCCTAACATTCAATATGCCAATAAAACTGCAAAATCAATGATGTTAATAGAGACTAAAAAAAAGAGCCACAAAGGACAAATACACAAATCTATTCAAGTAAAAGTTACACTAAAAAGCATTTGGAAAAGGAAAAGTAATGAAATAATACCCAGGATCCATATTGATAACGTAGCATAGCTCTAAGTTCACTGCCCGGTCTGGACCAATCAACATATCACTAATTTCCCTCAGCAATAGCCACCGCATTAGCCATATTTGTCTATTTTCTAATGCAGGTTTCTTTATCTTCCTGTAACAAACCATAACTCGAGACAATCAATCCACATCGACTATTAAATAACTCGGGCACCTACAGAATACAGACTAACAGCATAGCAAAGAAATCCAAACTAAAACATCTATTGAAGAACATGCACACCCATTGCACATATAAGACACAAGTCAATAGATCTGATTCATTTTACCACGCATACATATGCAGAAACAAACTAAACAATTGGAATACCCAGAAAGAAACTGATAATTTTATGCTCAAATATACACCGTATACTCAAGAATTGTATATGATAATCAAGCCGCATCTGCAGTAAAGTAAGAGGTAAAAACAAAGCTTATAATTAAGAAACCAAGCTATAATTCTTTTCTTTTAGCAATAGATGTGAACCCACTAATAAGTGAAACTAATAAAAATCATCAAATGAATGAAAAGAATCATAACAATGAGTAGCCACAAAATCCAATTCAAACCTGCAGGAAAAAAACCAAGAAAATCCAGCTACAAATTCCAAAATCAAACACCAAGGAATTAATTGCAGAAAAAAAAAAGGATAACCAAGAAAACCTTAAAGATCGAGTCTTTCCAGCAAATAAGAGAATCAGTTCACAGCCAAATCGAAATGAAATTATTCCCCCGAATTCATTCCCAAACCAACTATTTTTGTTTCTTAATCTAGTTTAGTCCACCAAATTATGAGATACACTAATTATGTTATTTTGTTTCGAACTTCTTGTTTTCATAATACATTTTAACACATTGACACATTATCTCTTCCTAATTAATTCCAAAACATAACCAAAAAACAAAAGAACATGAAACAGATGGTACAGAAAGAGAATCCCATAATAAACGTTGAACCCCAAAAAATGCCAAATAAATCACCACCAACAACTAATTCTCTTTATATCAGAATGAAATAAAGATCAAAAAGGGAAGGCATAAAGTAGATTTCGCATACCAGGGTTTGCTAGAACTCTTCTTTGGTAGCCTATCTCTCAATAGCCATGGCCTTCTTCTTCGCAGCCCTTGTAGTCTCAATTAGGGATAAACAGAATTTTATGTGGTTGAGGCGGTGGAAGTGGAACGCACAAGAGAGGGTTGTCTGGCAACATTTAAGAGGCAACCCATTTTAACTATTCATAAGGGGTTGAGTCTTTTAAAGATATATAGGATATAGTAGGATATCATTATGAAATTTATTTCTTGCCCCTAATCTTTTGCGACGTCAATGATGGAAATTTTTTATCATGCTAACGTCGGGGTTGGAGGTCAGGCATGCTTATCATTAAGGCCTCGTTTGGAATTAATTTTACATTTTTGATTGTCACAGAATTTGTCTTAATGGGGCCCCATTTTCTAATCAAACTCTGCACAATTCCAACCCGGAATAGGAATGAAAGAATCGTTGATTATATTTTTTTTCTCTCCCTAGTCCCTATTGAAAAAGGAAAAAACACAATCGTATCCAGAAATTGAATTTGGAGACGGCTAATGGAATCTGGTAACAAGATCAAGGATCCATCCTTACATTGCCAACAAAGACCGAGCGAGAATCCACTTCTTCCTTATTTGCCCGTTTAGCTACAGCAGCAGCATGATCTGGTTGCAATAAAAGAAATACATAAATCAAAAAGGAATTGTTAAGTAAGGTAATACAAAATGGTATCTATCGATGACAATGATGTTATCATACAGACACGGTCGCTTAGACAAGGGCATTATACTACTCATAATGGTTAAAGGCTTCATTAATCCTCATTTTTGTCTCAAATTTATTTATATAACAACACTATTAATCAATGTGCTGCTCACATAAAGGAAATAAGTCCTAAAATATTTTGGACCAGTTAAGGTCTCCAGGTCCACACTGCCAGAGGCATGACCACTGTAGTGTATCGTGGTGAAGCTCACTAACAGATGTAATCAAGTAGTGTCTGCCAATAAGCACTGGAAAGGCTATCTCAAACATAAGGCACCAACAAATATAAGGTGTAATTCAGTTAAAATCAATTACAAAGTGATCTGCAAAAGTAAGCCTTATTCATCAGCAGCTCTCACGGTGTGCCCACCAACCCAGCCAAAAAAATAATAATCTAAAGCAATATGCAGCAAGTATATGTCCAAACAAATGAAAATGGTAGGAAGTACAACTGCCACAACAATTAGGTAGTGTAAACAATTTCAAGATATTTATTCTACAACTTGGCAGAAAAACCAAGCAGCTTCAGAAACTAATACTTGGCGAGAACAATATATCTAGAATATTAATAATAACAATGAGACGTAAAATGAGACCATAATCAGCATGTTGAAATACATAGGATCACAACAACACATCTTAATCTAGAACCACAAAAGAAAACAAGAAAAATAGAAAGATCAGAGATTACATGAATTTGAAATAAATAAACACAATTAGATATAAAATTTTATTAACACTGAGTGGTCAATAATACCAGTCTTATTTATATGTAAAAACCCTGATGAGAATAGAAAACCTTTCTAACTTGAAGATTAACAATACAACAAGAAAATAAATCATATTTACTTCTTAAATTTACGGCTAATAAAATAAATTATATTTGTATTGTGATCTCAATCATCATATCTAAAAAGGTTTAAACAACCTTCATCTTGTAGGGTAAATTTGGCATCAATTCAATGTTTCGACTCTCAAAAGGGTAAGTATGTGCTTCGAATTCGATACTCATTGTTTAGCCCTTATAGACTAATCATCCAGTTGTCAATTTTGCCTAACATAGTAAATAAATTTTTTTCCCTCTATTTGAAAAAATAAAATTAGTCTTAGATTGAGCCGTTCCAAGATTTAATCCAGAATGGATATAAATCTAAATTAAAATGCTAAGCTACATTCGTTTTCCGGCTCAAAGTATATCATCTGTGACTCTATTTCTATGCCATTTGACTCCAATTGCTCAAGTAATGTTACAAGATGATGATAGGAACACAGAATTAGACGTCGACGAAAGACAAATATAATAGCTTAATCAGGTACATTGTTTCACAAATTATTAACATTAGTTGCAAGTAGAGCAAATAGAATATTTCATACTCTGATGTGACTCAGAGAAATATAATTTGCGCAGCTTTTGAAGACATCAAGACCCAGTAAAAAAATGATCATTAAACGCCAAGAATTAAGGAAAAAACATACCTTCTTCTTTACAGCAGTAAACTCTTTTTTTATTGCTCCTACATTAATGCAACCACAAAGTCAGATATAAAGCTCATACAAGAGCCTGAAGACTCTTTAACCCTCTTTTCCTTCTTCAGTTCAGTAATTTCAATTCCAAAAATCTAATATAATATAGAAAAAAGGATCTTTGACAGTTTAAAGCATTCTAAACATATATATTCACCACAATGAATCAGAAGTGATGACAAGCTTAAGAGCTATTTCTTCAGCTTGCTTAAACTCAAATGAGTTCACGCAACGTTGCCAATGATCTAAAATATTATAACAGAGAGAGGTAGATTAAAACTAAGAGTTTGGTATGGTTGGTAATGATCTAGCTTCACTGGATCTTCCAGAAAATGTAGAGATGAATTAGATGGAACAAAAACAATTATGCGGTAGATTCCGAATTATTAGAATAAGGTTCAGATGTTTGTTGTCAGAATTATACAAACAGTCTTAATATGTGTGTTTTCCTATTTTTCATCCATATATTCCAATAGGCAGAGCACAGAGTTATATAGGAGAAGAGATGCTCCTAATTTTGGATAATACAAATCTGTAGCTAATTGATTGATTGTACACATAATTGACTAAATCTATTCCCTTAAAATGATATGATTATATATGATTTTGATTCCAGAAAAGATTTTTAACAGCTCACGCCAACATTTGTTGTTAAAAAAAAATATTTGCCAAACTTTCAATTTGAGTACTATTAAACAACAAAAAACTTGACATTTTGTCCAATGGGAAAATGTTGGAATTTAAATTATAAAAGTTATGAGCAACACACCTTCGTTATGTGCACTCCAAGGCTTTTATGTACTCCAGTTTCTAGAGAACTTTATGCAAATAAATGCTCCACCTCAAGGATCTGTTTGCAAAGATTTAAACAAAAATGGCACTTGAGCCAATTATAAAACAAAAATGAAACAAGAAAAAACATTCATTTAGGGACTGATAAATACATCCATGGTTAAAAGTACCCAGGGAAATTGAGAAACCATAAAAAACTGTAGTCTGACTAATTATGCCTCAAGTTATAAAAGTAAACGAAACGCAGGTTTGAATCCACGAAGGGGTATTAATAGTTGTGATATCTGATTGCAGGATGCACATCTTAGATAACATTCATAACCAAAAAATTGAGAAATTAAAAATATAAATAAATAAAGTACAAATTTCACCTTTTTATCCTCGGATATGGGCACGAAGGGGTGTTTTTCAGCAGATCTGCAGTCGGTGTGTGAGGGTTCCGGTGTGAACAGTGATTTTGCCTTGGCCTCTTTTAGTATAGGTAGATATGGCCAGACCATATCTAGAAGAAATGCTAGTAAATCAAGTACCGTTGCAATCCTATGTAGCAGATTAGGATTTCTGAAAACCAAATTCTAAAACAGCAGCTATTTCTACAAGGAAACTCGGAAATGAACACTGCAATCGAATTGAAAAGAACGTGCACATAATCCCTTCAAATTATAACATATAAAAACAATTAAGGGGGAGAGGGCAAATTACGGGTCGTGAATCATGGCTAAGACGCTAATCCTCGTGTACGAGAGTTCAAAATCATATCAAAATCATAACGAAGCAGTTATTTAATAGGAAATTAGAACACCCCTCTGCACGAGAATCGCGCTTATCTTCTTCAGAGAGCTGGACAGGCATCCCAAAGCGCTCGGCTCTCTTCATCGTCTTCTGAACATCAGTAGCCGCTGGAGCGCCGTCAACACCATCAGCTTCCACAGCCTCCATAGTCAGTTTTACCTTCGATTTGTCTTCACCGTCGGCGGACGAACGATGGTGAAGACAAATTGAAATGATTCTCAGAACGAAGAAAAAGGAATATGTTTAAACGAGGTCGGCGTCTCTGTGAGACACGGAGGCGGTGCCTCTCGTTGCCGGAAAAGTTACCTTTTAGGTAGCAGCGTTGTCGTGGATGAGGAAATTGAGGGATTTGAGAAGGAAGATTTGAGGAAATTGAGGGATTTGAGGACGGGCAAAATGAGAAGAAAGGGAGAAAACGATTTTTTTTTGGAAGTGAAACGACGTCGTCTAATAGGACGAAATTGGGAACAGTGATTTCAAAAGTGTCTCTTTTATTGTATAGGGATTCACGGCCATTATTTCTTTTGCGGTTGTTAGAAAGCATTTACACGAGAAATAAAAATAAAAATACTAACAATTGCCTTCTTCCTTCTCAAGACTCGCTCCTAACCAAGCACTGACGTTAAGAAAGATTGTTCTTAGGACAAAATTTCTAAAATAAAACTGACCTATTGATCTTGTTTTTTTTACTGTTGACGTGGATAATAGATATTGGGTCCATTCGTGTTCACGCAAACTAATGCCAACACGTATGGACAAATTACTAATCGTCGATATTTCAGATTTGAACGTGGAATAAACTTTATAAACGAGACAATTATGTTCAGGCTTCGACGAGATATATGAGCTTATGTGCATGATAAGGAACGATCAACAAAAACGAAATTAAAAATCAAGGTCAAACATCAATAATAATAAAATTTACTAATTACATAAAAAAAGGGGAAAATTAAAGAAAATAAATAGCCGCCCTGCCCGTCCCCACAGTTGGTTAGTATTTAAAAGTTTGCATTAAATGAATTTGAACTTATATGTGACAAAGGCAAAATTTGGAAAAATACGGAGCATGCATCAACAATCCAAACATGACAAAAATAATCAAACCTATGCACATGGTCCTAACAATTGTTATCCACAAGTAAAATAGCTGTCCTCTTCTGTCTTTTACAGACATTCACGGCCATTATTTCTTTTGCGGTTGTTAGAAAGCATTTACACGAGAAATAAAAATAAAAATACTAACAAGTGCCTTCTTCCTTCTCAAGACTCGCTCCTAACCAAGCACTGACGTTAAGAAAGATTGTTCTTAGGACAAAATTTCTAAAATAATAATAAATAAAACTGACCTATTGATCTTGTTTTTTTTACTGTTGACGTGGATAATAGATATTGGGTCCATTCGTGTTCACGCAAACTAATTCCAACACGTATGGACAAATTACTAATCGTCGATATTTCAGATTTGAACGTGGAAGAAACTTTATAAACGAGACAATTATGTCCAGGCTTCGACGAGATATATGAGCGTATGTGCATGACAAGGAACGATCAACAAAAACCAAATTAAAAATCAAGGTCAAACATCTAACTTTGGCAACAAAAGATTTAACTTACGATGAAACAATATATAGCTTACTGTAGATGTTTTTGCATTAACCTCAAATGACACAAGGAGGGATATTTATAGTATTATATGTGAAATGATGTCTATTGAATTAGGAGACACGTGGCCTCATCTCTTTAATCGGAGCATTCTATTCTAGGCATTAATTTTGATCCAACTAGCTTGTGGGGGCATTAAATGTTCTACAAAAGGGGACAGTCACCCTACAACTTATATTGACAAGATTTCGACATATTAATCATTACAACAGGATTTCATGAATTCAGGATCTTCAAATGTGGGTCGTCACTCGTCATAATAGGGCTTCGAATGTAACTTCGTTGTGTCACCCATAGAGTCTCACTACTTCGATAAAAGGGTTTCAGCAGGTCTATTCCATGAAACCACTTCGGTAAGAAGTGGATTTCGGTCTTTAGATTTAGGGGACTTTGGTAGGTCTTATGCACTCCACATGGGATGCCACGTAACTTCAACAAAGGAGCTTTGATGGGTTGGCCACGTGGAACGCCAAGCAGACCACGTGGGAGCCTTGGTGGTCCAGCGTAACATGACCCTTAAAACTTTTTCTAGAAAAACAAATTCAGGTTTCGTTCCAAAAATACGTTTCTTCTAAATATAATAACTTGGGCTTATATTATCTACCATAAATTGTAGTCTCTACCAATGACTTGCTCGTTCTTTGAATTTATTGTGGTGTTGTGATTCAAAATTGACACGGTTCTTGACTTGATATAAATAACTTATAATTAGTTTGAATAGTATAATATTTTTATCCAACGAAGTAAATATCATTTTTCCTATAAATACACGAATATGCATATAAATTACTTAACTGAAGAAGTTTAAATCAACAATTAATACCACCCGGACTCGTAATTATTTCTGATTTAATTAGGTCTAGATTCGATCAATTATTCCACTCTAGTCCATTTGTTGATTATTAAATGGGCCCTTCCTCAGTTCCTCTCTAGAACAATGACTTCATTTTAATTCCACGTAGTGAATATATGTTAGTTATAGGGTCCTGAGCAGTAGATCCGGGTAATCCGGTTGATTTGTGATGGGTTCGAACCCGAATATTACTGCAGAATATTGGTAAGCAAGATATCGAAGAAGAATATACACTTGATGTTGACTGAAGCACTACGCATCTTTTTCAAATGTCCATTTCTTGATGCTGAACTTGCCAGCTAACATTGACTTCTATTTTCATTTTTAATTGTCCTGAAAATCCAAGAGAGTTCTTTGATTTCGGATTCAAAAACCAACCAAATGAACCAAGGCTCGATTCACAATTTTAAACACTTGGTAGCCACTATGGTTTCCATCCAAGTATGGAGATGAAGATGGTGATGGCAATATCACAAATGGAGGACGAAAAGAGGAGCAATGGTTGAACCCTCTAACGAATCACCAAGAATGGCTACCTCGCCATTTCTTCTCTATTCCACACGCCCAAACTTCAAACTCAAGGGGAACACGACTGTGGGCAATGGAAATATAAGCCCCAACATTAGGTCACTTCAATCGGCTAAGAGGTAAAGTAATTGGGCCTCCAAATGGGCCAACAATAATCTAAAACCACTAATCTAATAATCCAACTCAATAACCACTACTTAGGCTAAACTCATGGGCCATCCTAAAGTATTTAAAATGGTTTTCGGGTCGAGTCATCAGTTTGGTATCGATAAAATTCCCGATATCGATTTTTCATCATCGCCTGAGTTTATTGAATATAAAAAACCGAACAAATCTCCATTTTGATACCCAATTAACCTGCAAGCAATCAAAACACAAGGTTAATACTTGCATAATTAAGGAAACCAATAAAATTAGTATCATAGACATTACCTCGTGTTCAGACTCAAAACATATACCATACATAATGTACTCACCAAGGCTAAGGTCAAAAACATCCAAATAAAAATAGATAATAATAGTAAACAATTAAGAGTAAATAATGCGGTACAGATATATTATAGGATAATACACGAATTTTTAAAAAAATCACGTTCATACCTAACAACAGATTAACACCAATTCAATCAATAAACGATCAACACATATGTAACAAATGCATAAATGACTATACGAAAAGATCTCGCCATTCTTATCCTATTCTATTCCATGTTGCTCACATATCGAGAACAGATATCTCCTCTCATCGGCCACCATACTACTAGACTAACACTAAATCCATATTTAACTGGTAAATCTAGGGGTGTCAACGAGCCGAGCCCGAAAAAAAAGGCTTGAGCCGAGCCCGAAGTTTTTTGGATCGAGCTTTTTTTGGCTCGAGTCGAGCCGAGCCCGACCAAAAAAAATTAGGCTCGGCCCAAGCCTTAGCGGGCCGAGCTGGCTAGTCTTTTTTTTTTAATCTACATTTTTTTTAAAAAAAATTGTACATTTTATGCGTGTTATAAATTAAAGAAATTATAAAAGTTAAAACCCTAATCCTTTATCCGGGTTTGGGACCAGCTACAATTATCGTAGGCGGAGTTAAAATTATACACGAATAAAATATTTCGTGTACAATTTTTCTTTAAAAAAAATTAAAAATTACGTATTTTTTGAAACTAAATAATTTAAAAACTTAAAATATCTTATGCTTTAATCTGCTGTAACTCATCGGTCATTATACTATCAACTTGTTCTTGAAGACGTAATTCC